GTGATTGGTGATTGGTGATTGGTGATTGGTGATTGGTGATTGGTGATTGGTGATTGGTGATTGGTGATTGGTGATTGGTGATTGTTGAAAACTGGTGCGCCATCATAATTCGGTTTTTACCAACTAGAGTTTGGAACCGGCTTTTTTCATGTTAAAATCGGTTTTAACCGGTTTTAGCATATGAAAAATAAAACCGGTTCCAAACTCTATTACTCTACTAACAACTCTAGTTCTGTCAGCTAGAATCTTAAAATTGATTTTGAAATCAATATTTGGAGATATAATTTATTTTTTAATTTTTTGCGCATGCGCGTTGTAACGCATCCCATAAGATCCGTGTATTGTGAGCACAAAGGTATTGTTAGGATATAGTGCTAGCAAAGACTATCTTTATACCAAATTTTGCAAGAATATTTTTTATTAAAACGCAAAAGGTAGTTTCATAAGCAAAATTCTGAGCTACACAAGCGACTTTTTTTATTAAATATAAAATAAATATAACGTAACATAAATATGGTTAAATCATGCAGAATTTAAGTGGCTGATTAAATTATAATTGTGCAATATTAAAAAATATAAATTTTTCGAAAATAAGAGAAAATATAACTTTCAGTATTACAGTTATCTTGGCAGATATTAATTGTCGTGCCTGAAGTTGGCATCGGCCTGAAGTTAGACCTGAAATTGGCACCTGCCTAAAACCGCTAGCTAGTAGGATTATCTAATTTCAGGGGCTAATTTCAGTCAGATGCAACTTCAGGCACCTTAAGTTCCAACTTTAGTTGGGTACCAACTTCAGGCACGACATTATCATAATCAATTTGTTCTTTGATATCTTTTAATTCTTGATATCTCTCATTATTTTCTATTTTCAATTTTTCAAGGAACTTGTCGAATTCAAAGCTAAGTTTATTATATTGATCTTGCTTCTTTTGAATCTTCAATTCTAATTCTTTGTTCTTATAATAATCTTTCGCCTAAAATATTAAAAATATTGTAATTCAAGAATCAAGAATATTATTTGGTTGAAAACTAAGTTTATACTTACATAATGTAATAATGACACGATGATAAAGATGAAGATAATGAGGATAATGAAGCAATAGCACTTTTTGAACAAATTATTTCTAGTATGAGCAATTTTGGCTGCTTCAATTGTATTATGCGTTTCTTGTAGTTTATTGAGATTCTTTGGCTTTCGTGATTGATTAGAGCATTCGACTTCATTATTTAGGTAGACATCATTAATAATAGCTGCGTTTTCGTTTTTCTGCTCATTCTGTTGATTGCAGCGATCATACATTATTTAACTGAGTTAATGATTATAATAAAATTCTCCGCTAATTTGTTCAAATTTGCAAACCTTGTCTAACTTTTGTTCATGGATAATTTCTTTAATGAATTGCGGTTGCACCTTGTTATCAGAATCTGCATAACTAGTCTTGATAAATTCTTTAATATCTTTTATAAGATCTAGCAATTTTGCAATTAGATTAAATATTAAATCAGCAAAGAAATTAATTATTTCACGTAATTGAAAATAATGGTGATTGCAACTCGTAATAAAAAAGTTACGGCAAAAAGACTTCTATTATAAAGTGTAACTATTAACGTAGTTACGCCTGCATTGCTAGTTGGGAATAATCAATGTAACTTAAATTCCCGAAACCCATTTCCCGAAAGGATATAATTCTGACTAGCTGGCATTAGCCTTAATGCCGGCTGGTCAGTTTAATCGATTTTGTTATGTTCTTTCGGGAAGGTTGCTTTCTGAAATCGTACCGTATTCGGGAATAAATTTTTGAATATCATCTTTAGTCACAGTCGGCTGTTTCTTTAAATTTTCAAGGTCATTCAATGCTTCGATAGCGTTAGGTCTCAATGAAGGATTTGGGTTCCAACATTTTTCATATATCTTTACATAGTCCAAAGGCATTCCTTCTTTTGGTTTTTCTCTCACTCCAAAAAAAAGTTCAAGAACTAAAATTATATGGTCTTGTCTACCATCAAATGGTTGGATGCAGGTAGATATTTCCCACATTAGCACTCCGTAACTATAAATATCGGTGGATGTATCATGCGAATAATTGGGACTATATAGTAATTTTGGATCAACGAAAGGTGCCATTCCTCGAACCCCTGATATTCCTGTTGAATGAACCGATTTTGAAAGGCCAAAATCTGCCAAACGAGCTCTTCTTTGATGTATTAGAACATTTTTGTGATGCTATATGTATGATGTTTTTGTTAGTTTTTATCATTTAATTGAGTAAATTATTTTAATGATAAAAACTACATTTAACCTACTACGAAACTAAATTAATCCCAAATGACAAAATAATAATAAAAACTTACTAAATCTCTGTGAATTATATCATTTTCATGCAAAAAATTCAATCCTTTAAGAATATCTTTGCATAAAGAAATCTTATGATCTATGTTTAGGTTATTCTTGTTGTTTTCAAGATAATCTTTTAAAGTTCCGCTTTCAGCATATTGCATTACTATGATATATTCTCCATCTTTATCACCTAATTAATAAAGAATTAAAGTATTAGTTCAGGTATTAGTATAGTATATTTTCAATTTTATATATTTAGTGAAAAATGATGACTTAATTAGGGATATTATAATCAGTGAATATATGCTGCACCTTCAGATAATCCGTGGAATTTAATGAGTTCATTACAATTATTAGATAATTTCAAGGCCCTAAACTAATTGTAAATAGAAAAGCATGAGTAACTTATTAATACCTATTTAAAATATTACTTTAAATAAACCTCGCGTTTAAAATCTATTAGTTGTCTTTGATCTCTGCGTTCAACAAATTTTGCTGCTACTTGTTTTCCATTCCATAGTGCTGTTCGAACTTCACCATATCCACCTTTAGCTAAATACTTTAAATTTAATAAGTCTGAGCGGTTAATGATACAAGGAGGGACCCACAAAGGACTTAAATGATCCAGAGATTTAATGTTTGTATTATTTTGCACAGGAGGTTGTGTAGTGTCATTTTGAGATTCTGTAATTTTTATTTTAACATTTTCTGATAAAGGATTATTCGACATATTGTTTATAATAATCTAAAGGTGATATATAATACTGTAATTGATAAATAAAAAAGAGGGAAACAATGATTTATTTTTTAATATGTGCAATACCGGACAGCAATAATGATAGATTTCAGCAATATATAATTTTTTTAACAGATTTATTGCTTTTTATAATGCTACAATTCTATTAAGATACATTTTTGTTTATATTATAATTATACAAAGTATTTTGCTTAAAGTTTATATGTATAATAGAATTTGGCGATTTGATTTATTTTCGCAAGTAACACAAGTAAAAAAAGAAAGTAATTTTAATTTTATAAATAAATTAAATGCGTAGTAATTTAATTTTGTTAATAAATTAAATGCGTAAATATTGAAGTTTTAGGATTAGAATTAGCATTAGAGGCTGTAGCAATACATTATATATAAAATTTCGTTCCCGTCAGCTAGCCAAGGCCATTTAAACATCAGTTTTCGAATATTTTCTCTTTCTTTTTTGCTGCTATCGCATTATTTTATGTTGAGCTGATCCAGATTGGCGAAAATAAGATTTGACGCCTAGTATATAAATTGCCTTTTAAATAATTTTGAACGTTTTTTGTTGTTACGTACGTACGTACGCACTGTAAAACAATAACGTAGTACAGCGTTCTTTGTCGAACTTTATTACTAGATTTAGATCATTTGCAAAGGTTTCACTCTTAATTATTTTTGACGCTTTAGTAAATTTGAATGAATATAAAATACAATGGCCAATAAACGTATGTTGGTAACAAGGCGATTGAAGTGTTCAAAGAGATTTATAAATATAATCGTTTAGAGTTTATAGCTATTATATTATTGTAAAGTATAAATATTAATTAATAATATATTTAAGGCGATCAATATTTCACATCCCTTTGTGGTATTTCCACACCCCTAAAACCTCCGGTCGAAATAACTCAACAACCACTCAATGAAATTCAATTGACTCTTTTTAATTTGAACCTATGGTCTCATAGAATTTAAATAAAAAAAAGTTCATCGGATAAGTCAAGAAAAATTTGGCCACACCTTATATTTAATGGACATTTAAAATTTTTTAAAACTTTAACCGAAGATATCTTGACAACCGCCTAATGAAATTTGATAAACTTTTTTTTTTTTTATTTGAATTCTATGAACACCAGAATAAAATTTAAAAAAAAAAAGCTAATCAAAATTCATTGGGTAGTATCTTCGATCAAATTCTAAGAAAAGTGATCAACAGGGGTGTAAAAATTGGAGCTTTCACTGGATGCAGAATAGTATTTACGGTATCTTTACATGACGAATCTCATCTTTAAGTTTAGATAATCTAATTAAATCCTGAAAAGACATAACTTATTCACCACCTGCGTGAATTATTCATCCCCTTTAATCTTTCTTTAAAAAACAACTTAAAAGTTATTGAGTTATAGTAAAATGTAAAATTGTGAGAATAGTCTTTTTTGCAAGACCTGAAGAGTAATTTCATAAGCAAAATTTTGAGATTTATTTGAAAAAATTCTTTGCTTTGTTATGCAAAGACGAATGTATGTTATACAGTCATACCTGAGTTATATCCCCACTGGGTTATATCCCAACCTGAGTTATATCCCCATATTTAAGCAAATCAAATTTCCTCTTTTTATATGTTTTTATATATTTTATATATTGAGTTATATCCTTACCTTAGTTATATCTCCAAAAACGCTCTGGAAAAAAGGGGGATATAACACAGGTACGACTGTACCTATTCTTGCACGTTTATTGGCTAATATAGGAGGGTGTGACTCATCCTGGGTGAGGAATAAAGAACGAATGCTACAAAAAAGAGAGAAATTGACGAAAAAAATTTTTCGGAAAATTGATTTTTATGTTAAAAATTATAAGAAAATACAAATTCAAAGAGCTGTACTGCAAGAATTTATGAGTTTGTTTCTTAAGTAAAAAATGATTTTAATTTTATTCTTAATTGATTTATACAAATAAAAAGTTTTAAAAAAATTGTCAATCTCCTCCATTTTGCAGCATTTAGACAAATTGTACTCTTATGAAAATTTATTACAATAAAATATCGTGTTGATTTAATTAAGATTGAACAGTTAAAAAAAATCTCTACTTAAATTATTAAATTTTTTTTGGTTTATCTGGATGATTATTATAAATTTGAAAAAGGTTTATCTCTATAGCTCTACAAGTTAGTCATGTCACAAAAAATTGTCAGTCTCATGATATCCAAGCCGATCAAATCATTCACTAAAGCCAGAAAAAGATACACCACTATGTTAGATTTGAAGTTCTAATTTTATATATAGTAGTCCGAATAGTTTGGAAATAATGAGGCAACTTTTTAAATAATTATCTACTTATCTCGAAAATTTTCAGTTAGTATTTCTTTCTGATTGATTTAATATTATTTGATTGAAAAATCGAATAATATCATTATTCCACTTCATGGGAATAATCCGGGTCCCCGGCTGATTAGGGATTTACCTCTTATTCCCACATACTCAGAAAATAATATATAGTTATTGGATGCGAAGCAGCCAATAACGGAAATTATTTGTAAAATAATTTCATTATCTGGCTGTGAAATTTAATATGTCAGCTTCTGGGCCCCAAAGGGGGCCCATAAATGACGTGTATTAAATTCGCTGCCAGATAAGCAAGTTATTGACTGAGTAGCATTCAATAACGGTATTATCCGGTATCTTACGACCGAACAAACAGAATAACTCGAGTTCTTTGATGATGATTGCGTCATCAAATAACGGAGTGATCTGATAATGATGCAATCATAATCAAAATAACTCGAGTTATTCTGTTGGTACGATCATAGTAAGGTGACGGATAAAATAGTATTATTTAGCATACATCGCATCGCATAAATTGAAGTACTAATTCGTATAAGCAAACCAATTTAATTCAGACATACACATTGTCAAGCTTTAACAATATGGACAAAGTCATGTAATGCCATTACATAAAAAATTTAATTCATGCTTTACTCTGCCCAAAGGTATTACTAAATCAGGTTCAATATTTTATAATACTGATACATAATATTCTGGCACTACCTAACGCTAATAAATCTGATAATATCTCCACCTTAGTTCTGTTCTAGAATCAGTTTGTCTTCCACAAACATAAATAGATATGCACGAAATATATATAAAGAAAACAAAAACATAATGCAGATATGCACATTGTCAAGCTTTAACAATATGGAGAAGTCATGTAATGCCATAACATGAAAAATTTAATTTATGCTTTCTCTGCACACAGTATTACTAAATCAGGTTCAATATTTTACATAATTTTCTGGTGTTACCGGCTTAGTTCTGTTCTAGAACCAGTTTGCTTTCCACAAACATAAATAGATATGCATGGAATGTATATAAAGAAAACAAAAACAAGCACATGAATAAATGTAGCCATATGTAGCATGGGCACTATTATATAAGTAGAGTGAGGTATGTGTACGTACGTAGTACGTACGTACGTAATTTTGACGGAGTTACAATTTATCAAAATTTGCCTTCATTTGAATTTTGTAATTGCAAAATTTTGGTTCAAAATAACATGGTTCTTTGTCAATTTAAATTCTAAAATCAATAAAAAAGCATGTTGACTTTGTGTTTGTACAACTTTTATTAGCGCTAAGTAACTTCAACAATCGGAAGGTAGAGTGCTAACATAAAATTAACACAAACGGAAATAATTACGTATCAATATATGCATTATGACAATTTCCAAATAGTTTGTACGATTATTTTTAATCCGTTGGACAGAATCGAATGTTCTTTATCATTCGATTCATCTTGGAATCATTATTTTAATTATGTTATTTCTATATAATTTAATCTGACACTTTATCCGCCCATAACATCTTCCATTACCTTAGATTTTTAGTAATTTGACAAGTTTACGTAGAGATGCATACGTACGTACGTCTAATTTGTGAATCAAAAGTCAACTTAATTTAAAAGATTTATAATTTTGAGAGTATGCGCAGATAAATTTGCGCATACAGCTCAATTAGCTTTAAAAGCTCAGATAGCTAAGGGAAGGTGATGAATCACGAGTAGAGAGAAGACCAGTCAAATATCATGCACATGAACAAAATAGATATAATTGGAAAAGGTCAGAAAATTATACGGGATTAATAAATTGACCGGTCATTTATACAGTTTTGAAGTACTTTTCAGGAAATGGAATGCTACTTTTATTTCTTTATACCTGTAACTAGTTGTCTGTAAAAATAATCAAAAATATTAAATTTTTTTTCTGGCAAAATCCCAAACTATTTTGTCTGTAACAAATCAAACGCATACATTAAGTAGCAAGTATTAATCGGTTCCGATCAATTCACCGACAATCATTTCACCGAACTCTCATTTAACCGACATCACATAGAGTTAGGGTTAAGCATTTGATTAGTTGCAGGTATATATTTTTACTAAATTTCACCTGGCGTGATGTCGGCATAGCTGTTACGTAAATTTTTTGCACATCCTGATCAACAAAGGAATTACCTCATTTCTCCGCAGTAAACCAATGACTACATCGAAGAGAGCAGTCGCAGCATCACCCACAAAAAAATGTAGCTTACGTCATAATTTATCTCCTGATGACGTTTTTTAGCATATCGCATAAATTATCTATTGTTATTTTACGTATAAGTAATAAATACGGTGTCTATTAAAATTTATGTAAAATTTTTTTTTAAAAATGTCATATAACTAAAAAATATGAAAATTTTCTTAATAAAAAAGGCAAACAATTAGCAACCTGTCAGAAATGTTGTAGTGAGTGTAAAAGATCTTAGGATCAAGTGCAAATACAAGAAACTGAACACATATATGAGGATTTTTTTTCTTTTGCCTATGCGATGTGTCGCCACCCATAAAACAATAAAAACAATGTGTTAGTTTAAGGTTAGGGTTAAAATTAGACTAAGGCTAGATGTAAATTTAGTTTTTTTTTTAAGGTGAGGTTTTGCCTTTATC